GATTAAAATTAGAAAACAAATACAAACCACACTTCTATCAAAATAGATGAAGCCTAAAGCTGCAAAAAGGCAATTAGATAGAAGATATTTGGAGAGCTGGGAATAATCATTTTTGCAAAACAAAGACATAGATGCCCAATGCTATCTTCCATATGCACCCTAAAGTGAGGTTAAACACCCAGAATGATGGCAAATGCTACCTGGCCAAATGCAATGGATGCAATTGCTCCTGCAGTGTACTTTCCTACTCCTGGCAACTGCTTCTGCAGTTCTTCTGCTGTCCTTGGCATATGACCTTCCAGTTGTGACACCACCTGTAAAAGACCAGTGGATAAAGCAATCAAAGCAAAGGGAAAGAAATGAATGTCTACTATACTCTCAACAAGTAGGTTGTGTTGTAGCCATAGTATTTTCAACACAAATATGTTTTGATTAAAAAACCACATCTCTTAAGAGATTCAGACATGCTGTTGAAGGCTAATAGTTTTTTAAGATGTTCCCAACCATGTTGAAGTTATGTAGGATCTTGAAGACCTGACTTAGTGCAATGTGTTGGATGAGCCCATTTATAATGATTGGAATGTGAAAATGACTGTTTAGCCTTGGATGTTCTTATTTAAATTTATTAGCCACCCAACTCTAGAGGAATCAAGGATTGGGATTTTTTTATTTGTTGATGGCTTGTTTTTGGATTTAATCCTATATGAACTGCCCAGTCTCAATTTGTGAAGTGATTATAAACCAAATAAATACAACTATCTTCTTGCCAAAATTAAGTACCACAACTCATTCACCCAGTAACTCATTCATGTTGTCTAAACTCTAAAGTACCTTATGTGCACCTTCCTGGAGCCGTTTTCCTCGAGAATAGTAGCCAAGACCTGCCCATAGTTCATTCACTTCCTAGTCTCAAACAGAAATGAGGAAAAAAAAACCAAATTAACCCAAGAAGGATAAGGTCATACGCATAAACTTCCTTTTCCCTTTACAGTTAATAAATGCACGCATATTCATATAGATATATTTAAAATCTTTTTACCTCCAATGAAGCTTCAGCTAAATCCTGCAAGGTTGGCCATTTCTACATCACAAAGAAAAACAGGTGTTTATTTACTGGCTCTGCAAAGCAGAACAAAGGCACAAATCATTCAGAACCCAGAACGCTGGATAATATAAATGTGAATTTGTCACAAAGAAAGGAGCTCAGCATCACCTGCATCCAACGATTGTAGTAATTAATTACTGAAGCCACTTGGGTTTGCTGGAGCATGATCTCCGATACCCACACTGCAAGCACAAAAGGAAAACAGCATCAGAGAGTGCTGATTAAAGATACCTAGATCAAGGAAGCATGATAAAAGAGATATGCCTCTTAACAACTATATTAATAAAAAATAATATAAAATCAGATACATGTTACCCAAGTCAAACACCAATCAAATCAAAATTTTGTTGATTAGAATTAACCACATTTTTGACATTTAATATAGTTTGAGACCTCCTGAAAGAGATGAATTATTGCTCTCACCAGCATATGCTCGTCTGTCATCATCAGTTTCAGTTGCAGCCTGCCATAGAAGAACGGAACAGCAAGAATGAAAACCCAATACAATTATCTGCTTATTTTAAGAATATTTCTGAACCACTCCTTATTTTTCCATACCAGTTTCCTCCACGGCAGATCTCGTTTACATTTACTGTACCAAGATAGCAGTCTCTTCTGAAAGTCTCGGATTTCAACTGCATCACTGAATGTGTGAAATAAAGGCTGGGAACGTGGCACCTCTGTGGTAAAGAGAAATTAACATTTTAAAGTTAGCATTTCTTAGGGCTACATTGAGGGGGCAATCAATCTGGAATTGAACTTTTTTGCAATTTTAGTCTCCAAATGTGTAAGCAAATAAAAGATTAAGTTAGGAGTGATCACCTCAAGAAGATAATAACACTTTAAATTATATTTAATTTTATTCAATACAATCAATAGAATAGAGCTGGAAGGGACCTTGGAGGTCTTCTAGTCCAGCCCACTGCTAAAGCAGGAGACTCTATATCCGTGAGGGTGAACCTATGGCACGTGTGCCAGAAGTGGCACGCAGAGCCACTTCTGCTGGCACGAGAGGTCGCCCAAAAGAGCTCCACTTCGCATGCACGCACCCCCCGCCAGCCAGCTGATTGTTGGGTATCTGCCATGCATGTGTGGGGAGAGATGCATGTGTAGGAGATGCGCATATATGCGCAGAGGCATGCGACATGCAGGGGGTTGCATGGGCAGAGGCACGTGGGAGACACAGGGGGTGTACACTCATTGCATCATGGGTGCAGGCATGCGAGCGCGCAGTTTTGGCACGCAACGTGGAAAAGCTTCGCCATCACGGCTCTATACCATTTCGAATAGGGCTGTCCAGTCTTTTCTTTAAAACCTCCAGTGATGAAGCACCCACAGTTTCTGAAGGCAAGTTGTTCCACTAATTAATTGTCCTTATTGTTAGATTTCTCCTTAATTCCATGTTGCTTATCTCCTTGATTAGTTTCCCTCCATTGTTTCTTGTCTTGCCTTCTTGGTACTTTGGGAAATAAGCAGACCCATTCTCCTTCGTGGCAGCCCCTCAAATACTGGAATACTGCTATCATGTCACCCCTAGACCTTCTTTTCTCCAGACTTGCCATAACCAAGTCTTCCAACCATTCTTCATGTTTTTGTCTCCAGGCATTTAACCATCTTAGTTGCTCTTCTTTGCATGTTTTTCCCCCAAAGTCTAAACACCCTTTTTGTAGTGTGGTGACCAAAACTGGATGCAATATTCCAGAGGTGGTTTTAATACTACCCCTGCATCCATTTTTGGTCGCCACATTACAAAAAAGAAGAGACTTGGGAAAAATACAGTACTACATTTGTTATTGTCTGTTTCTTGAGCAAAATCCTTGTGTAGCTCCATTACCTTTGTAAAGTACAAGTCCTTTTTTCACATTTCTTTGATGATTTTTGGATTTTCCCAGATTGCTGCACTTTGACATTTGGCGTTTACTCATTGCCAAGCTAGGGAAGAGCATAAAGTATATTATTATTAGATTAGATCAAACTCCTTCCAAATCTAAATGTAACAATTTGTGCAATTATCTGTATAAATACTCTGAATTGCACCAAATTTAGCATACAAACCAGATAATCCAAATTACAAACTGGGCAATCTGAAAAAATATGCTGTAAGGAGAAATCAGGCGCTACAAACCAGTCTTTTTTTATTCTTGAAACGGACTCCCCTACTCACATAAGAGAGGTGAACATTCTAAAGCACATACAAGGACTTCACAGTGCAAATAAATATTATATATAGCATTATATATGGCCCTGTGGCAACCAAATCTCACTTTTTGAAGAGTGCTATTCCCCTTCAATAATCTGAATTAACGCAGACTATTCTAGCTTTCCATGCCTAACAAAGCCGTTGACTCCTCTAACCACGTGCCAACAACATCCGTGTAGGAGGATTGTTTTGTTCTTACACCCTCAAAAATGGGACAATTATTATAAAACAGACGTCCTTTCAAAGGAGGCATACAACGTTTCTCTTTTTCCCCCTTCCCTCTTATCTGTACGACTCTTTGTAGCCACAGAGCCGTCGCGGAAACACTACCGGCTGACCATGCACACAAACAAAACAAAACACGAACTACACAAAACAGCAGATTGAAAAGGAAAGGGATGTACAACGCCCACCAACCACAGTGCTACTGTAGGAAGCACAAAAGCCCAGTCTCTCCAATGGTTACGGTACTTTTCCCTTTATCGATAAAGGTCCCTCTTTGGGCAGAAGTGAAAGTAAAGGACAATTTAAGAGGATTTTTACCGTACTCACGTGTTTCTTTCCTACAACTGGAGGCTATGCACTTTCTCACGTAATTCTTCCTCCGTATACAAAGAGGTGTGCTTCTAATGGAGAGAAGGGACGAGGTTCTTTGCAAGCTGCCCTGCAATTAATATTTCAAGCAGCAAGTAGACCCGAGACTTTAGTTTGTGTTGTTTCCGCAGGTTTTGCGATTTGGAGGCGCGGAATTTTAACTCGGCGGAAGCATTTGGGGAGGAGCAGAGGCTAACTCTTTTTCCATATCATTTTTATAAATCATACCACCAGGTTTTATTTACGTGGAAGTCACTTTTCTTTTTTTCCCCAGTGACTGATTGAAAAGCTAAGATCTTAGTAGCTAAAGCCTGTTAGGAAAAGAATTAATCCTTGTTAACCTAGTGCTGTTCATTTGATGAAAAACAATCAAATGTCAGCATGCCAGTTTATATATAGTGTGACTGAGTGGCTTGATATTATTTTGTAATTCACATATTTTATGCTTATACAGCTGATTTTTTTTTTTAAAAAACCACCGAGTTGTTGATAAGACTGCAGTGGAAAATCTTTCCTCCCACTCGGCAGTTTTTGTAAAAGACTTAATCGAAAAGTCCGAATGCCAAGTCCCTTGGCAAGTCCGAATATAATATTTTTAAAAATAGTTTTAAAATACATACTTGCATTTATTCTCGGCTTGTGGGTGGGGAATCCGCTTGCAAAGTTGGCTGTTTGCAAAGTAGCGTTTACCCTAATGTGTCGCAAAATGAAAATTTCTGATGGCCTCGGAAGTTAGGTTTTAATTTAAAAAAAATGTGCAGAAAGCACCACAGTTGCTAAACATATTTCCCCATCGCGTGCGAAAAACTTTTAAAGCATAATTTGAATGGGACTCCTGTTTAGATGATTTTAAATAACTGCGCTAGCATCCAACGAAAGGCATTTAAATAAACAGCTACATATATGCGCCATCAGCAGGGGAAGGACCCCTGAATTCACAACGCGCCGGAAGTTTAAATGGTATCAACGGCGGACGAATTCTACCAAGCCTTTAAGGGTAATAGAAAATCTGAAACTTCCAGGGATTGATACAGTTGAATGTGAGTTCCGGGATTTTGTTTATTTTTATTTTTCTCTCCTATATGGTTTTCCCCAGGCAATTTAATACCCAGGAACGCAGAGAAGAGAGCTCTGCCGAACGCAGACTGCTGCCGCTTAGACATTGGCCATTGCAATATGACTTTTTGTTAGAGCTAACATGTCAATCCTGCACAAATCCGGACGACCGGTAGATGGCAGCAAAGAAAATTTCCTGTATTTCTGCCATCTTTGCAGGTTGTGTGGATTTTTGCAACTCAGACATCTTAACTTTACTTTTTTGAGCTTTGATGGAAGAGAGAGTGTAGGTACAGAAAATGTATCAGTTCTTTAAGTTGACTAGTTGGCAACCTTTTGCTTATTTTACTTTTTCACCATGGCTTCCCCAAAACAAAGTTAATACCTGGATTATTAAAATAACGGATCATATGTTTTTTGTTCCCAACAGCTGTATTATAATGGCCTCTTTAAGGGTGCCCGTCATTGATGTCCAGGATGACAATTTCAAGGAGCTCTGGCCATCCATGCTTTTGGCTATCAAAACTTCCAGCTTTATTGCTGTTGACACAGTGAGTAAAATTGCTCTTTATTGGTTTTAACTTTGGAACAAGAGAAAAGGAAAATTGCAATCAGACTTATGAGAATAAGGTAAAATGTATCCCTAATTATTTTATGTAGTTGCATCTTTTACTGAAGACTGAAAGTGTTATCTTTATCCATAGGAACTTAGTGGGCTTGGAACAAGGAAGAGTTTGCTGAATCAGTAAGTACTGTGCTACCATTCTTTTTCTTTTTAAGTAGTATGGTCAGGGACTCCAGGTAATACCAAATTCTGAATGATCAATTTTTTAATGTTGGGACAAATATTTTTTTTCACAATACTTACTGAATATACTTTTGTCAGATTGTTAGATAGAAGCATTCAATAGCTATAAGATAGAATTGATGACTTGATTAAGATGCGATTATTTAAGCAATTGGCCCTTCTGAAAACATAGACTATGTTAGCTATAGGCATCACTACATGGGTCTAATACTTTTGGCATTGGGGAGGATCTTTGTCATGTTTAAAGTTAGGGGGTGTATTCAGGTTAATGACAAGATTCTGTCATCAGATCAGAAATCATACCGAGTATTGGCAGCTGCTTTATAATGTTCAGGTTATTGGTCCATCTAACCCAATGTAGACAATACTAATGATTTTTTTTAAAAAAAATTTATTAATTAAAAAAAATACATAAACAAACTAAACGTAGAATGTAATAACATAAGGCATCTTTTCTGAAGAAACCAATAAAACATCTTATTTAAAGACAGAATAATTCCAAATTATCACATTTCCATGCAAACCCAATTTAATATATATATTTATCTTATCTATTCAACTTCATATCTTATCCCAACTTCTCTTTATTTCTCCCTTTCCTTCTACTATTCAATTATATTTCTTTTGCCTTAGATTATGTATATTCTTTATATCCATCTGTCTTATTTACAATTTCATTATTCTCTTCCAATGTTCTTCTACATTCTTCTAAAATTTGATTAATTCAGATATAGACAAACAAAACACAAAACATAAATACATAAAACTTCTTTTTGGAAAGCGGCTTACCCCGGGTTACCTCTTTTTGTACAGACATAAATCAAATTCATGCTCACTTAATATACTATTTCATATCTTATTTGGCATTCTGTATTTTCTATATATTTTCTCTCCTCTATTCACACTCTTAATTCTATTATATTTATTTCATCTCAATTTAAATAATTATACTTGTATCCTTTGTCCGTTCTCTTTCAATCATCTATTTATCTTTTCTTTCTAATACAATATTTCTCCTGTAATCACTGGTTGAAGCACGACAGCTTTCTATCCCCTAAATTTAACACTTGGAATAATACATACTTTCCACTGATTTTGCTATACAGTACTAATGATATTTGCAGGGATTTTCATGCATTCTGCAGATTAAATTCTCTGTCTTTGCTTCTTATTCAGTTACCTAATGTTTCTCACAGGTGCATTGAAGAACGATATAAAGCGGTTTGCAATGCTGCTAAAACACGCTCTGTTTTGTCTCTTGGAGTTGCTTGTTTTAAACACCTTCCTGACAAGGTATGGTGCTCGTTTTGTGTCTAGCCCTCTGTGAGGACAAGAAAATCCTACCTACTGATGGAGAATATATATTGAAGGCAAACCTTATAAATTTAAATATGATGCCTGGTGTTACTAGCATTAGTTTATAAAACTTTTGAATTTTGGGGGTATTCTTGTATTCATGTAAAAGAGAGAGAATTCAATTTATTACAGTTATCCAAAAATAGTAGATTGAAACATAGAAACTTAACAAATATCTTATTCTGTGTCCAGCTTTCTCAATTAAGATTGCTTACTGTAGCTGAAATCAGTGCTGGAGATTCTCTGTGCCTGATAAATATGTGCATGTCATATAAATGTGTATGAATGTATGTATGAGGTAGATCATCCTCCCAATGCAATAATTATGGTCCTCAGTTTCATTGAATTGGCTTTTATTTTGCAGACAGAGAACACATATCTTTCCCAGATCTACAACTTGACCTTGCTGTGTATGGATGATTACATAATTGAACCACAGTCAGTCCAATTCCTGGTGCAACATGGCTTTGACTTCAACAAGCAGTATTCTCAGGGCATTCCCTATCATAGGGGCAATGATAAGGTACAAGGATTCCTTAATTTAAGGACTAAATCTGATGGAAATGAAAGAAACGTGGAAATGGGTTTGGACTTCTTACCTAGTAGATTAATTTTTTAAAAAATAGCTATTGCAAGGAAAGTTACCAGTAGTAGCATTTTTCTGTGAGATTGGAGACCTTACTGATAAGACCATATTTAGAGGATGCAGTTGTGGGTTCAATGAATGGTTTAGTTGTTAGTTAATAAATGGTAAGCATTGCCTATCCCTGTGATGGCAAACCTATGGCATGCGTGCCAGAGGTGGCACGCAGAGCCATTTGTGACAGCACGCAAGCTGCAGGCAAACTTACCTCACTGCTCATGTGCACACCTCATAGCTGATTTTCGGGCGGTTTGAGGCCTTTTTCGGCCTCCCAGAGGCTTCAGGAAGGCTTCTGCAGGCTTCTGTAGGCTTTTCAGGCCGAAAACTAGGTCCGGAAGTGATGAAACGGGCCTAGCTTTCAGCCTAAAAAGCCTGCAGAAGCCTTCCTGAAGCCTCTGGGAGGCCAAAAAAGGCCTCAAACCGTCCGAACATCAGCTGTGAGGCGTTTTGCAGGTAAGGGGGCAGTGGGGGTGGGGTGGGGATTTTGCACACATGCGTATGGGGCATGGGGGGGCGCATTGCCTTCTGGGTGCTGGCATGCGAACATGAGCATGCAAGCATGCACACAATTTTTGGCACAGGAGCCCAGAAAGGTTAGCCACCACTGGCCTCTGCAATACTTTAGATTAGATTATATTTTCTTTCGATAATAGGTCTAGAAGAAATAACCTCTGGCATCCCGTTTGTCTATCCAAATCTAAAGGACTGTCAGAAGAGGACTTTCCGTATTGGGATGCCTAAATAACATTTTTTTCATTTTCTTTGCTCACAGGGAAATGAAAATCAGAGTCAAACAATTCGTACTTTTTTCTTGGAAATAATTCGAGCAAGAAAACCTATCATTCTGCACAATGGCCTAATTGATTTAGTTTTCCTCTACCAGTGCTTCTATGCCCACTTACCTGACAATCTGGGCACTTTCACTGCTGACCTTTCAGAGATGTTTCCAGCCGGCATCTATGACACGAAATATGCCTCAGAATTCGAGGCACGCTTTGTAGCTTCTTACCTAGAGTATGCCTATAAGAAGTGGTATGTATCCTTTAATAAATAAATGCTGTAAACACCATGACAGATGGTAGAGTTGCATTACTCCTCTCCTGTTTTTCATTTACATATAAAATGCTTCCAATAACCATATGACCAAGTAGTCTGAAGGTTAAGAAGATAATTATAATGATTAGTCAGTTTTCAAGCAGCTTATAGATCATTCTGTTTATATGTATATTGGGGGAAAATATTTAAATATAGTACTTTTAATTGTCCTCTTTTAAACTGTTTTTCTTTTGTGAAAATGTGGGAGGGAAAACATTAGAAATAACTTACACAAAATTTTGTGTAAGTTATTTCTGATGAGCCATTTATGATTACCACTGGTTTTATTACTCTTCTGAAATGAATTTTAAAATCTTTTTTCACTCTCTGCTCTGGTGACTATACTGACTCAGAATAAACTAAAGTATGGCACGAATTGTATGCCTATCTGCTTTTTATGTTCTCCGTGTGTTCTAGAAAACATGAGAGGAGATAGGAGTAAACTTGTTAGCATGGTAGAATGAAATAGGAATGATAGGAACTTTTTCTTTTGGTTGACTAACTGGAGGCAAGGGTCATCAGGAAAAATACTAGTGACAATTAGCTGGCAATAGCATTTGTAAAACTCTACCGGTAGACGAAGAATGCAGTTCTTCTGTAACTCTGTTCTTCTGTACAACAGCCCTTCTATGTTTATTTTCATCTCGATGGCAATTCTGTATTTGTTTTGAATTGATTTCCCACCCACCCCACCATACCTCTTTTTCTCAATTCTCTAAACCTTTTGTATCATCATGTAAAAGAAAAGTAAGTCCTGAAAAAATACCGATTATCTCCATACAATTGCTACTATTATACTGCTCTTGAATTTCAGCAAACGAGAAAACTTCAGGTTGAAAGACTCCAACAAACCGTATCTCAGCATAGAATTCTGCAGCTATCCTGCCAGCATAGATGCCTATGTTGAATACCGGTTCTGCTCTGTGGCTGATGTCAGCCAGGCTCAAACTGACATCGCTAACAAAATTGTCATCTGCCAGCCATTTTCGGTTAAGTATTATTGGGTCTTTCATCTACATTTTAGGATCTTAAAAATTGTCTATAAAACCAAATTGGAAATAACAGTTTTAGTGCCTCAAATGTTAGATGCAGACTATAAGGACAAGCTATTTTGGATAAAAGAAGTCTATCTTGTTAGATCAGCCTTTCAGATGTTTTTTTGGCCATTAAAATATGTTACAAAGAAGCCAATTTCTTTTAATTAAATAGGTTTTTTTTTAAAAAAAGAACAAAACAGGAATTTTCGCTTCATTCAGGAAAGAGCTCTCCTTGGGATCCAAGTGAGGTTTAGAATCAGTAGTTATGTATACTACTACTGTCTAGGAAAGATTGACTGGCTTCCAATCATTCCAAAATTCTCAGAAATTTTTAAAATCTATCCTAATAGTCTTCCTTCTCCTTCGCAGGCTTATGGCTGGTGCCCAGATGGGTTGAAATGTACACAATCTCACAATATTGATCTAATAATTAATGAGGATGAGAATCAGAAAGAATCGAAGCGGAAGACAAGAAAACAGAAATGGAAACGGCGGAAGAACTTAGCAGAGTCAACAAAAGTTGAACTGAGCAGCCCTGTGAATGATGTACAGTTGGCTTGGGATAAGGAAAAAGGTTCCCCTTCCAAACAGTCTTGCCCTAGTAACTTGATTGCTCCTATTGTAGATAGTGCAGATGCAGAAAGTGTGTCTGGTAATGGGGAGACTTCAATGGATGTGGAACAAGAACTAGTTTCCAACAGTGCAGTTGATGCCAATGTTGATGGGAATGCTGCCATTGCCACAGACAGTGAGAGTATCATTTCTTCACCATTCAAAGATTTCCAGCAGGAAAAGGCAATAAGAAGCGAAGGAGCAGAGCCAAAAGTCCAGTTACAGAGCGATTCTGCAGTCACCTCTTTGCCTGTCACAGATACTGTAGCACCATCTAACTGTTCACGGGGGAGTATTCACCGGGCTGGCTTTGATGCCTTCATGACAGGTTACATAATAGCCTACATCCAGATGGTCAAGAATGATAAAGAGAGAGACTCAAATGACGGGCCTTGGTTACCAGAGTGCCACAACAAATTGTACCTTAGTGGAAAGTCTGTGCCTCTTCAGATTGTGAAAAGTTTGTTTTCCAAATCTTCCAAAGCCCACAACCAAAAAATGAAATTGGTATGGGACAGTAGTTAGAAGTAAACATCACACTGCTCAGGATCACAGATAACGCTATTACTATCAATTGTTTTCTTGAAGCCGCAATACTCAAACCAGAGCTGCTAAAGAGACATTAATAAGACGATAGAATATGTGCAGCTGCCTGAATGGATTATGGATTTATTTTTAAATGTTTGTAAAATTATGTATTAAATTTCCTCATTGGAGACAGAACCTTTACACTGTGGATGAAGCATTTCTTCCCCCGTCCCCCAAATGCTTAAGAAAGCACTTTCTTTGACAAGGCTGGTGCACAACTTTAAAAATGGTTTCCCATTTGTTGTGTGTTCATGCTCACACAATGCTGCTTGGGGAATGGCAATGCATATATGAGAAGACAGCTGGCATCAGTTTTCAAGCAGCCTTGTAAACTCGCCCCCAATAATAATAATAATAATAATAATTAATAATATGCCTTAACCATTCAGAGAAATGCTTTGGTTTTAACCAAGGGAACTGCAGAAAAGCCTTTTTACATGATTACCTTGCACCATCATCCTAATGTTCCTAAGGTCAGGTAGTTGGATCTATTCCCTGCTCTCTAACGTCCATGTCTTCAGCAGATGTTGTGAAATCATTACAGCTCTTCGTGCAATCTAGATGCCTGCTTTATTAGACTTTCCGATTTATAGACTAGTACTAGCATTAGCTGCTTTTCAGAAATCCCAGCTTGTAGAACCTGACCAGAATAGGTAAGAAATGCATTACCCACCTTTTAAAACCCTTCTACATTCAGGTGAATACTTGAGAACAGTTATTTTAGTTTTTGCTTAACTCATTAAATTTGAAGATTTAAGCCCCAACTCTACCACAAATATTTTAAATCACCATTAATAGGATTCATTTGGCCTTAGACTAACAAAGGAGACAAGCTTGTCTTTTACTAACAATATAATATGGAATAAATGACGCATTAACGTACTATCCACACGTATTTGAAAATCTGCACTGAAAGCAAACACCTATTTGAATCATATTCTTTACTGGCAAGAATGAGGTAGAGTTTTCAACAAATCTGAGTTTGTCTAAAGGATATGGAATGCATACTTGAAATTTCTAATCAAACTTTCTGAAATTTTGTGGGACTTTTGTTTTGGATAATGAGAATGCAAACGTTGAGTACCAAATATAAGTCCATCTATTTTTATAGCAGCCCAAAAGAGATTGCAGTCATCTAAATCCACTACAAAGCTCTCAAGGCTTCAGAAATCTAACTGAATCTGGCCTACCATAACAGGTGATCATTGATTTTCTTAGCAAGCAGCTGGTTGTCTCTACTCTTTCTGGATATCCTTTTGGAATCATGCTTTGTCCTTAAATGTGATTTATATTATACTGCTTGTATATTATACCCCTTAAGATGGGGTAACAAAAAGTTAAGGAAAAGATAAGGAATTTGTGCCAAATTGTCTGGGTTTTTCCCCCCACAGTTCTATTGCAGCCTTATTTTTCTAATCCAAATTAAGCTGCTTAACTGTTGAGAAGAAACATTAATGCAGGATGGAGTTACAAATCAACTTAAGGCCATAGGCTCCGAGTCCCATTCTAGTATAATAATTCAAAAGGATATTTTATTATTCTCTGCCATCATCAATCTTTGTTGAAATAAAATATTGGTGTTTTCCTTATTAAATAATGTTTAGTTTTTTTGTATAAAAATATTTGACAAACTGGAGGCTTTTTATCGGTTAATTTATTGTGCCAGGTCTTCTTGCAATACAGATCATCAAAGTTATGTATTCCAGTTCCACACAACAAAACAGTAATGAGATCTCTTGGAAGCTAAAAAATGATTTTTTATTAGTCTTATCTGTTCCAGATACATTGCTTGGGAAGCATTATTTGATAATAACTTTAGTGGGGTCAATAATGTTCAACTTTTTGAAAACTGTTGCTGGGGAGAGCAATGAAGTAGCTAAAGCTTGTCATTAATACCAAGTTAGGGAAAAGAAAGCTCAAGCTAACTGGATAGCTCTAGCCAGATGTTGTCAACATGTGGGAATGGACAGCAAAATGACAAAATTTGAAATCAATGTAAAGTGATGCAGCAATAGCACACAAATTTTATATAAATGTTAATACTTACATATTTAATTCTAGGAAAAACTTTAAAAAGAATTGAATAAAACAATAATTTTGTATTTATCTGTATTGCAAACATATTTGATATTTGAACGATAACTGTTAATTGTGAAATCGAAAGGTAAAAAGCAACCAAAACAAGAACTGTTTTTGGTATAAAAAAAAAGATTTAGATCTTTTCACTCGTTTTTTTCTTCCTTTAATGAGGTATAGAAATGGGGTGGTAGGTTAAAAGTGGTGAGTAGGTTTTATTGTACATGCCCAGAGTCCCTCTGTGAAGGAGATGGGCAATTAATTATGATAAATAATTTAAAGAGTAGGGAGACATTTTTGCTCAAAATAGAACCTTGAATCATTTAGTGAAAGTTTACTGATAATTCTGTCCTTGACAAAGGCAATTAACTTGAAAACTTAAAAGGATACATAGATTACTTGGAAGTAGAAATAACCAAATTAATAAGAGCATTGATCTGTATTGTAAAGGAATTCCCATGTTTTGATACTTGTTTATATGAAAGCATTTAATTTAACAACATAGCAACATGGCATTGGCTTCAGTTATTAGCTTTTTAATATAAGGTAACTGCAGCTTACATACTATGAAATGTGTGTCTTGTCTGGAAACAAATATTCAGATAATCTACCACCATCATTAATTGCTGGTGAATACACAATTGGAAATCTGAAACAAGTGAAAGCACAATAAGGAATTCTTCTGGAATGAGACAAGCTCTTTTGGAATCCGACTTTAACAGAAAAAAAGTTATCACTTTTACAACAAAATACTGGAATGTGTGAATATTAAGTCCGAATGGATGTTTCCCATTTTATATTGCTCCTTTGCGTCATCAATTTTGTCTTCTCAACCACATATTTAATTTTCTTTTGACAGTGAACTGGGGAATGGTTTACAAAAACTGATAAAGAAAACTTGCAGATATTTTAAACTACGTTTATCTTTGGTTACTTTTTTCAGTTCCAGTGAAATATACTGTTTATGTAATTCTAAGGTGGAGGGAAATCAGACATGAATCAATACATACAAATCAAGATTTGTTTTCTTTAAACATTCATAAATATCCGAAGTATTAGAAAAATGTTTTTTCAAAAATCCTTTTTCTGGCAGTGTTAAATTATACACATGCTATAAATTTTTTTCCTAAGCTTTAATGACAAAATTTAGCTATTTACAAACAGCAAATATTAAGACATAAAATTCCTTCATAAATATGAAAATAGATCTTATAAAGATCTATAAACCTTAAATCAAATATTTGGCTACCTCAAAGGTTATTTTTGCATAGAAATGTAGTGACATGCAGTATAAACAGCAGCATTAAGTGCAAAGAGGAATTATTCAAGTGTCTAGTTAAACTGGCAAGAAATACCAGTGTTCTTGGACAAGATGCAGCAACCAAGAATCTATTGTACACTTTTTTTCTACTCAGATATCAATTTGCTAAATACATGTATTCACAGTCTTTCATCAGTTGGCCACACGAATAGCCTCTAATATGCTTATTAAATGTAATTTAGACAAAATTAATGAATTAAAAATAGACTGAGGATCTTAGAAGTGTTTTCAGGTGGCTTATCAAAAGCAATAGGCATCTTTGTTAGCAAATCAAACAAAAGCAAAACCATCTAGTATCATTGTGTTTGTACAAATTATGCATTCATTTGGCCACATTCTGTATAGAATACAGATGATGGCCCATAGCTGCTCTGCAATGCTGGCTTTCCATAGGATGTGATAACAGTGTTTACTATTGTATATGAGGACAGTTTTACCTTTATATTTAACCATCCAATAACTGTAGTTATTGCAGTCTAGAAAGACTTACTTTGCATCAAGGATCTAGGTTATCACTAACATTCTATTAAGAAGGTAGAGCAACCACAGTAGGAATCCATCATCCCACTCACAAGGTACCACTTCTTAGAGTATGTAAAAAACAGGAAAATACAGGGGGAGGGGGGATGTGACCAGAATAGAATTTACCTACATAAGCAGTAAAAGTGAGAGACTGGAAGGTTACAAGAGTGGAATCTGCAGAGCAAGTTATAAACTAATGCAGGCAAAGAAGTGAAATACTTTCTGGAAGTGAAATGGCCTCTGAGATACATTGCATGCTTGGTGCTTTCCAGAGCTGAGCATAAGTTACATTCATCAATTATTTTGCTTTGGATGGGGTGGAGGAAAATGCTACCAAATTCAAAATCACACCTGTTTAAGTGATTAGATTTTTTAATTGTTTAAATAAAGCAGCCTGATAATAACTACTGGGATTCTTTATCACTAACCCCGAAAGAGGAAACAACTAAACTGGAATGTGGTGCTACTTATTTTCAAATGAATAATTGAGAAGACAGTAATTTTGTTGTCCAGCTACTGGAAGGAACTTGAGGCTGTCATGAATGTCTATAAATAAACATAACTTGCAAACTTGGTCTGCTCAATATTTGTGACTCTTCTTTTATTGCTTCATATTTTGTGAGGATTTGCCTTTTCTACAGTTTAGTTATGAGGAATGAATATGAGGAAATCTATGTTCACCAGAATTAATTTCAAGTGTATTCTAACTAGAGGCAAGATATGTGAGTTTAATACTTTTTATATCATCTGTATTCATTCATATTAAGTTCTGACCATGTAATGCTGGTCTGGATGTCCAAAGGGACTTCAGTATAGAGATGTTATTTCTGTAGCTTCACTTTAAAATTTGCTTTCCAATTGAGAAATTTCAAGCAACTTATCTACAGAATTTATATAAATTGCACACATAGACCATGTTTCTGTGTGAGCTCATAGACTAATTGAAGACATGCATGCAAAACTGGATTTTTAAAATATGTTGAAGAGAATTCTTCCATGCCAAACATTTGATGGTGATACATTTCATGCTTTTATAATAAAGGGAATGAGGTTATTGAAGAAATGAAAATATTCATCTCATTTTATTTCATGAACAGTTTATTCAGAAACGGAACTCTGCTGTTCCTTCAGTAAGTGGCTAATGGAAAATTTCCTTTCCCGCGAATAAAAACTGGACAAGCAACTAATAATTTAAAAGGAACGCCTGAAGTGGGAATATGCTCAATGCCCCCACTGTTAGCAACTGGATTGGAAAAGGTAAGGGAGCTATTGTAGCCAAATCTCATCTTATTTAATAAATTTTAGAGAATTCAGATGCGTAGTCTTCCTGTTTATTTAAAGCAAGAGTGGGGAAATATGTGCAAAACATTCTATTTTGGAACATTTTGATCCAAAATAGGATATTCTGAAAATGAATCAATCCAAAAATGTTTTCTTCCAATCATGGACCAAGTTTTTTTGAGTATTGTAGAAATGGTTTGATACGTTGAACTACTTACAGAGTAGCTGGTTTTTTTTTTTAAACTAAAATTCCCGTGACAGAAAGTCTTGTACAAATATTTGGGTAACCAGTGGTAATAGTGAAATCCAACTCATCAGCCCTTGTTAATGGCCAGAACAGTTGTGGTTGTAGTCCAGTAAGGTCTAAATCAACTGTCTTTAATTTTAAGCAACCTCCAAAAGTATAAACTTCAATTCCCAGAGTATTTCAACAATGGACATTGTTCAGAATACTTGGGTTTAAAATTCATACTTTGAAGGTTGACCAGGATAAGACCAGTTTAGGATGATCTGCCCCCAGGGTACTACTTGTTTTAAATATAGTCCATATAAATATTTATTGCTGCTTGGCATTTACTGCTAATGAGACAAAGATTTTAAAGGTTCAAGGAGATACTAAGTTCTTAAAAACATTTAACAACCTAAACAGTATGAATAACACAAACAGAAACACAGAGAGATGCCCATAATCCCACTATCTCTATAATTGTGACCCTGCATAAATCAGGCATTCAACAGCAAACCTTATTCCTATATTAGCGTTTTCCTGAGGTATGCTGAGAACTCCTTTCATACATCCTTGCATGCATACAATCTCTCATAATACATTTTAGAATTATCAAATGGACTGGTAACATTGCTACACGGTTTTAGAGACATTTGACACAAAAGTTAAAACCAGAGTAGTTAGTGGGAGTGTATCATCATCACCATCAGCCAATGGTTGACTTTTAAATGTCACATTTCGGCTGTCCACTTATTGATGCTGATGTGTCTGAAGGCAGCAGAGAAACATTTGAAGTGTCGCTATCTACCACTTCAAGGAAAGTAGAGTCTCTGCCTTGCTGTGAGGAAGGATTAATACTGAGCAACCGTTTAGAAGATTCCAATTTAGCGGAAGGCATATTCCTTTGAGTTTCATCTTCCACCTCCATTTCTTCAGAGGTGGTACAGCTCATGAACATTTCTGGGAATTGATTTTCTGGGTAGTCTAAATTGTGTACTAAGATATTAGCCACTTGGCCAGAAGTGTCTTGCAGCACTTGTCCCTCAGGCTTCCCAAGTTCTGCCTCTTCAACGGAACATTTTACAGAAAACCCATTTTTGTTTGGAGGCTCCAATTCATCAGAACAATCCATTTCCTCCTCTTGCAGAAGTGGAGGATGACGTTGTTTAACCTGGAAAGGGGGGATCTCAGATACACCGTACTTATTACTGCATAGCAGCCTCTGGCGCACCTCAGCCCCTAGCTGGGTGGGATCACAGCTACTGACCGTTGAAGAGAGATCTCCAAATGTATTATAATCTTTATGAACAAATTCCGGAGAAACTGGAAGTGATCTGCTTCTCCTCCCAGGAAAGAAAGAAGAGTCTTGCCAATCACAGGCATAGGTGTGCTTGAACAGCGGCTGGCTCATTTTTGGACATCCTCTTGCTTCTGGAGAGTGCAGGTCAAATACAAGAGATATCACGGATTTGCTAGGCAAGTCAAAAAATTTTATTTTCCCTCCTTTCAAGTCTTCCCTAGAATTGAAAGGGTTGACTTTTCGGCTTGCCCCTTTGCTTGGTGTATAATATGGGTCCTGAACATTTATCTTGCGGGAAGGTTTCCGAGAGAAGATGTCTGACTGACTGCGTGATAGCCAGATGTTGCGCCGTGGTCGGGGTGATTTAGGTGGAATCTTGTCATCCAATGAGCTCAGCCTTTTGATACCTTGTCCCCTCTCTAGCAATCCTACAAAATAAAATCAGATTTAAATCCACACATTACTTCAGTGACAAATCTGGACTCATATACACACAATATAAATGTGATATTCTCCACAACCATACACCCTTAGGAAATCCACAAATTCTCATAGAGCTCTTCATCATAAGAAATGATTTTTCAAACAATTTTGTATAAGCCATTTCTATAGGCAGAGAATGCAATCTATCACATATTGTTATATTTTGTCTTTATATTCTTCTACGTGCCTCCTAACCCTCAAATGCATATAAATACTTAGTTAATATGACAATAAATATGTTATTTTCCAATTATTTGTATACTCTAAAAAGTCTTCCCAAGAGTGAAAGTTAAAGAGGACACTCCCCTTTTAATTAAAAGACAGAAGTAAGGTTTCCCTAGAGCAAAAGACACCATTATGCTGTGAAAAGGGCAGGCAAACAATAATACTTCCCTGTGGAAGTGGTTATATTCCACATCAGCCTTGAAACAGCTCATTGTTCAATGTAGAAACTAGGATACACAGCACTTGAGGTTGGGGGAAAAATCTGTTAAATACATTTAGATGGAAAGTGTTTAGCTACATTGCAAAAAAAAAAATCCTTTTCCTTTAAGATATCTGAGTTTATGCTTAAGTTTTCCTAAGCAGAACAAATACTAAAGTGACACTTTAAAACAAGAATGGAAAACCCACGCATAGCCTACAGGATCTCAAGATCGTGCCATCAAATGGCAGCATTTGGGTGGTACAATTTTGGAACATTCTGATTTGGATAATTTAAGGCTGGGACTAGTACCATTTTACTTCCTGGAAACCCCACATTCCTGTTCCATTTTTCTCTCTGGAAGCCAAAATCAGGCAGTTTTGGGGAGACAGGTAGTCCTCATTTAGCATATTAGTAATCATTCACAGTTACAATGGTGATGAAAATCTAACTTTATGTTCAACCCTTGTGTTTATGACCTTCACAGGTCTGTAAAGTAAAGTAAAGTTGAAGTAAGATCATAAACACAGTCGCAGTTTCACTTAGGCACCACTTTCCTTAACGATGAAATTGCCAAGCTCAATTGTGGTTGCTAAACGAGGACTACTTGAATTGGGGAAATGAAAGGATGGGAATCACCAGATTGCTTCTAGTAGTACTCCAATGATCATTTTAATTTTTAATGTCTGTATGTTTCACTTGTATTATGTTACCACTATTAAAATTAAGTAGCTGGCATTAATTAAAAAAATCTGTTGTACAAAACCCAGTGTCATCATGGATTTCCTCATGTTTAAGGGCTTTTTCATATGGATTCCTGTTAAAAAATGCAAATACATCTTTTGGCCTGAAAACTATGCCAGGTTTTCCATGGCGTATTGAAAGCTGCATTCATAAATATGGACTTGCTTTTGGGAGAAATTCTGAGGAATGAGATGGATGCTTAAGCATCTATTTTGCCCAATATGCAAAATTAAGGGCCATGTTTTGCTCCTTAAACTCCCAAAAGCCTTCCAATAAAAGAGGGTCCAACTATTGGCCTAATCTTCTCCTGGGATCACAAAAGACACATACTTGTGGGTTATAGTTTATATATCTTGTCCTTAAGACTGAAATGAATGACAAATTCAAGATTTAAACTGGCTCAGCTATGTAATTCTATACTTAGTTAATTCAAATTTCCCATCTAAATGAAAGCAATGTCTTAAATGTCTATATTGTGGTCACAGCAGTAAAACACCCCTCCCCTCAAAATCTTGCATTTGCCATAATTTAGAATTTTGTTTTAATCCCGCTTTTACTACATTATAAGTAACTCAAGACAGTGAACAAACATAATACTCCTTTTTTCCTCCTATTTTCTTCATAATAATAACTCTGTGAGGTGGATTGGGCTAAGAGAATGTGACTGGCCCAAAATTTACCAGCGGGCTTTTGGATTGCTCAAATTTTAATTTTTATAAATTAATTCAGCTCCAACTTTTTTTTCTATTTTAAAAATTTGCTACAATTCAAGCTGAAAATAAATATACCACAAGATGTATGTGTGATTCAAAATAAGCCATGAAGACAGCACTTAATTTGGGTTAAACTCCAACATATGTTTACCAGGGACTCAGAAGACATAAAAAGCCTTGAACATTTTCTAAAATGATACATCATAAGAAATGACCAGAACATAAAAAGCTAGAACTAGTAATTACTTTTATAATATTTTTCCTAGCTATAGAGTTAGAAGTTGGGTGTCAAAGCAAGACAAAATAACAATGACCATTATCGAAGGTTCAAGTCTACAAAAGAGTTCTTTTGAAAAACAGGGTAACCACACCTAGTGCCCTAATTGTCTTCTACATCATTCTGTCATTAATAAAGCATGGATACCTCAAAGAAGATGCTAACCACTAACCACCAACATTGCAAAGTGATCTTCATTCTCTTCCTCTGTAATCTGATTAATATGCCAAACCCATGGTTACTTTAATGCAACCATTTTATTGTGTCTAATACACAATAAAATGCTACAGGCAGGACAATTCTATCTGTTAAAATCTATGTGATATTCATTGCCATACTGGCAGCAGACTACGAGAGGAAAGATCAGGAAGGAATGGTGTTGTTATTTTTCTCACCATTTTTGTTCAAAACAAATGTTGCTCAAGATTTCAGGGGCTATCTTCCACTGTTGGAGATGTGATGGTAAACTGGGACACTTGTGATTCCACAGCTTCATATCATGCATGCCAATTGTGTCCCTTTTGCATGATTTCCATTAATCCTAACGTGAGAGGTGACAACTTTTCAAGGGGCAGAGAGAAAAGTCCTCAGATTTGATTGGTTCTGAAGTAGAAGGCCTCTGTTTCATGAGAAAACCTCAGTAAATTCTGAGTCTATCTATTTAGGTTGGGGGTCTCCAACCGTGGCAACTTTTAAGACTAGAGGACTTCAACTTCTAGAATTCCTCAGCCAGCTTTGCTGGCTGAGGAATTTTGGGAGTTGAAGTCCACAAGTCTTAAAGTTGCTAAGGTTGGAGACCCCTGGTTTAGGCCATCTTCTGATTTGGCCCATCTTTTATTTATTTTGTTTATTTATTTTTGTTAATTGCTTACAAAATAATAGGTATAAGTAAAAACATAGTTATGAATACATGGATACATATAAGAAAAATAAAAAATAAAAATAAAAGAAACAATAGGACAGGGACGGTAGGCACGTTGGTGCGCTTATGCACGCCCCCCTACAGACCTCTTAGGAAAGGGGTGAGGTCAATAGCAGACAGTCTAAGGTTAAAGATTTTGGGGTTTGGGGAAGAAACCAGAGTCAGGCAGAGTATTCAAGACATTGACCACTCTGTTGCGGAAGTCGTATTTCCTGCAATCAAGTTTGTTGCGATTAATCTTGAGTTTGTATCTATTGTTTGCTCTTGTGTTGTTATGGTCGAAGCTGAAGTATTCATTGACAGGTAGAATCTTCTCCAAATCTGCCAATCCTATACATTTGAAGTTGGAAGGAATGTTGTATATTCTTGCCTTTCATTATGAGGTCTGTGGAGGAAAGAACTAGAAAGCCAGCTTTTTCTATGGTAGGCCTTGGTTTGCCTACCATGGTTCACAATGCACCCTCTTGGTTAACATTTAGAAGGGAGGCGAAAATAAAAGCACTTTGTCAAGCCTTTTAATGCATTTGTGGAAGTGAGTACTATTTCTGTTGCTATTTTATTTGCGTGTCTGTGTGTGCTCGTACGTATGTGTGCGTGCAGCACAGACAGTACAGCAACTATTTTTATGACTTTCTGTCTTGCACTTATTCTTGTGATCCATCCAGAATCTCAGGATTGGGGTGCAGTACAAATTATGTAAGAAAATACAGAGACATACACAAAAGCTGTTGAAATTAAGTGTCATTTAGAGGACCGCACTGATGTGATTAGATTGTTCTATCCTTAATTTTTAGTTGCACAGAGACAGTTGTGCAACTCAGCTGGGTATACCATATACAGTATCAACTTGCTCAGGTAGTCTAGACTAATATTGTTTATGCATCTCGCTCAAGTTAACATGAACAACAACAACAAAATTAAATTCCAACCTATCACAGTGACTTAAGGAACTATGTGTCCAACTAATATGTATGTATGTGGACTAAATTTGGTTCTTCAAGGAAGACAAAGTGAATAGATTGGATATACCATGAACATCAAATTGTATTTCCAATTAAACTTTTACAAGTAAATTAACTTGTACTCAATATGCAATTCTATTTAATTAGACTTAATTAGAATATTGTAAATACAATGTTTCCTAATTATAAATAAAAACAAAATTAATTACAACATAAAATATTTAATGTTTGTTGGCAAGCTGAGCAGTTTTATGACCATATTGTTTGATCCTACCTTTGGAAACAGAGATGGGTTTTCGATCTGCAGCATCCAGATTTAGAAGCTTTCGTTCTCTTTCATCTTCTTCTTTTTTCAAATTGCTCAGAATTTCCTCCAGTGTTTTGACAATATCAGTAAATGAAGGACGTAACTTTGGGTCCATCTATGAAGATAAGAAAAAATGATAAATTAAACACATAACACAAAATCTAAGCTTTTACGTTACCAATAGTCTTCAACTTATGAATGATTGCTTAGCAACCATTTGAAGCTACAGCTGATCCCCCAAAGCTACTTACAATCTAGTCCCTAAGGCTACTTTCTACCCCAAGGAGTCCTATACCCTTGCATCAACCATTGCCGCTTCTGTTTCAAAGATCTCTGGAGTACTGAAGCTTGGATTAGGGAAAAGGGACGGCCTGCTCTGTTGTTGGGCTACACAACATGAGCCTTGAAGCAGCTTCTATTTTCCTAGCAGCTGCATTGAATTCTGGCTGCTCAGAAACCGGCAGCTACTTCTGGGATCACGTTGCATGGCCCAGCAATGGAGAGGCTCCCTTTGCTTCCCTAACATGAGTTCTAGAGCATTTTCAAAGGTAAGTGTGATGGACATGATCTGAGGAGAAGGGAATAGGTCTGGTGAGGGCTACAGGGACCCGGAAGGGTGGGAAGCAAAACACGGGGTACCTTGGAGGGTGGGTGAAGGATGCCTTGGGAGGCCAGGGGAAGGACCTTCACTAGCCTCGCAGTGCCTCCCCTAGGGCCCCAGAGACACCCCATGCTCCACTTAATGTCTCATGTTTTGCTCTCTTTAATGACCGCATTGGGAAGAACAGGGATAGGGGTTCGTAAGTGAGGCAGTCATATGGCTGCTTCACTTAACAGCTGTCACAATTTCTGACCATAATGGGCAAACTCCATTATGGTCATGAGCTGAGGACTATCTGTATTCTACCAATATAAAAATGTTTTGCCATTCCATTTGGTGCACACGCAATTATAGAAAAACTCTATAAAAGAAAATTTACTGGATGTTTCATTTTCATTATAACTTGTCTAATATAATATTGGAAAGAACTATAGTGACAGCTTTTTATGTCCTTACTCATTATATACTTATTTGTTGCCCATTTTTATACCAAATCTACACATAAATAACAAATGTTATAAACTAATTCATACAATTCGTTCATATTTTGCCTTCAAATAATTGATAATTTCTGAGCTACAAAATCTCTCAATTTATTCAGCATTGCATTTTTAACTTTAACATAAACTAGGATCATTATTTTTTTAGTATACTGACATTGCAGCAGTTGAAGGCTAACTGGAGAAAGTTGGGAGGACAATCTCCCACCATGTGCTGAAAGGCATCATAATCCAGTCCAAAATTCTACATGAAAAAAACAGAAATACTCTGTTAATATCTAAAATAAAACAAACATGTTTTAAAGAAAGCAGTGGGGAAATTACAAGGGTTAAAAGACAAAACACAAAAGATAGTGAACTTAATTTTTCCCCTGAGCCCTGGGTCAGTATGTCAGGGTTCCAGGTAACACTGAAATCAAAGCTCCAAGGTTTTGATTCAAAGCTTCAAAGCTTCCTCAAAGTATAGATTTATTAGGCATGTCATATCACATCTGGGGAAAACCTGACTCTGGAGAAGCTGAGCTTTTCCCCACTCAAATCAAACCCGAAGTTCTTCCCCTCAGGTGGCAGCCCTAAAGATGCTCCCAAAATAAAAAATGGCTTCAGGGCTGACACAGTACTTCTGTGGATTTGACAAAGAGATGCTGATATATCTGCCACTTTCTCCTCCTTCATTGGCCTAAAAATACTTTCTGAATCCAACATATTATTCTGCTGTTATTCTGATATACTCTCTATATCAGCATTTCTGAGCCTTGCAATTCTAAAATATGGGGACTTTAACTCCCAGAATTCAAGAAAAGGAGCAAGGCTGGATGGGGAATTCTGGGAGTTGAAATCAACGTATCACAGAATTGCTACGAAACACAGAAACAAGCAGAAACAGCTGCCAGTTTCTGAACAACTAGAATTCAGTGCAGTAAATAGAAAATTGGCAGCTGCTTCAAAGATCATGTTGTGTGGCCCAACAAAAGAACAGCCGGTCCTTCTTCCCTATTCCCAATCTATATGTTAACAGCAAAATTCCAAGGATTGATTTAAGCAATAATACATTTTATCATTCTAAAACCTCCAGAAGTTTATTCGTTTGCTGGTAAACCATTAGATCAGGGATGTCAAACTTGCATCGTGATGGTGGCATCACATGACGTATGGGACTTTTCCCCCCTTCGCTAAACTGGGCATGGGTGTGGTTAGCGCATGATGCATCTGGCCCACGGGCCGCAAGTTTGACAGCTCTGCATTAGATTATTTCTTCAGCATGCACTGAATATGTATCTTCAGCCTGTACATAGCTTAGATGCACCACGCTGAACTGGAGAGAATCAGGAAGCTCAGAGAAACAACCCAGAATGCTACTGTATTTATTCAGAACTCAGTTCTAAAACTGAAACTAGTATAGAGAAAATAGATATTTCCTTTTCTGACTGCAGAACACTCAGTTCTCTGAATGTGGGAATCACAGCAACAACTCAGCTTTTTAAAAATGTATTTGGTGTTATAGTATAAGAGAAAGATATTCTAAGAGATAATAGTTTCAATCTCATAGTCCAAATTTTCCTCCAATATGGTCTAACATTTAGAACCATGAAAGATGCTATAAAGAGAAATGTATAAATCTGCCTACACCAAGAAACTTACCCACCAGGGAGTCTAGCATGAAAATGCATTTACCGAAGAAAGCACTACTATATACTTTACTGTACCTAGTACTTGGCCAATATCATATTAGAATGTAGAAACAATTTGCATAGTCAGGGTGTGATGCAATAACATCATAAACCACTTATGAAAATAGTTTTGTAATAACTTTAGTGCTGACTACTTATCACATTGCTGGTTCCCTTAAAGATGATTCTTAAGAATATCTCCACATTTCACCCACATATTTCACAGTGATGTGCCCTACATTAACCAATTTTGTCCATTTATTATGGAAGCAACTCTCAAGAGTATTAAAACACATTTCATATCAACTGCTATCTAATTCTTTTTACTGGGATTGGAATTTTCATATACAAAAATTTTCAAACATAAAACAGACCTTTTATGTCAACTGACTCGCCGAACTAGAGTTTTTTTTCCACTTTAATATTTTTTAAGATTGCTAATGCGTGTATTTCTCAAAACCTAACTTCAAAACAATATGCCATTTATAAAAGAAGACAAAAACACTTTAAAATAGTGTTGATGTAAAACAAACAAATGATGTTGTATAAGCAAAATAGCCACCTTTTCATCATTATCAGTTGAAAAGACAAAAAGATGTGGGTGAGATCTAATCAAAAGAAGAAATATCTTGATCAAACTGCCCTCTTCTCATGAATGAAGAAGCCATAGAAATCTCTTTGGTATTATGACAGTTAATCTCTTTAAAATTGGCTGATTAATGCAATATTCAATCCAACATTATGCAAGGATAATTATGAACTTTAAATGTGGAAGGGAGGGAAGAGAGAGGGAGGGAACAGCATTCTGTGCCAAGCTTGGCATATAAACGTAACAAAGGATTAATGGTTTATTGCAACTTTTATAGCTCATTTGGCAACTCTATGGAAATTGATTACCCATGAAACTCATTTTTTTTCCTTGACGGTCCTTATCAGTGAACTTTGCTCACCTCTGTTCGAGGGAGATAGTCTGGGTCTGCCTGGATCCTTGCAATAATCTCACAAAGGATGATCCCATATGAGAACACATCTGCCTAAAAGAGAGAATATGATCCCAGATTTATTTTGCAGGTATATTCTTTCCCTTCCATCGCAGGTCCCCCATGGTTTAAGAATTTTTCTTTGTTCCTATCACATGGGTGAAAAATGGGTGCCTAACACATTGCAAAAGCTTAAATTACCTACTGCACCACTTGCAAATTTCTGAGGGCACCCCAAATTCAACCAGCTAAGAAAAAGACTGCAGTACTGTTCCTTCATCATTAGAGGGAGCTATAAAACTTGAAAAATATTTATCAGCTTTTACTGATTTTTTTTAAAGCTACAGCTTTTATTGGAAGACAGAATATTGTTATTAACAAAATTATAAATTAAGGGAAAATATGGCATTGTCCCTTGATAAGTAGTGTAATTTTGATTTACAACTTTAAAAATCATTATTTCACAAAAGATGGATAAGTACTTATAATACTGTTCTCAAAGTTAGCTAAAAATAAAATTTTAGATTCTCAATATAGAAAGCAAACAATTGCCCCATAGGATATCAAGTTTATTACAGGCAACAGAATTTTCATGAGGTAATCTAACTAGAAAGATTTAAAAATAGAAAACATAGCTTACATAAGAGAAAAATGCTAGGTACAAGTTCTCCTTGCTTAAATATCCCAGGGCAACATCTTATGTTAACAGTATTTATTTCAAACATACAGGGATGGGCTGCTGGGAATTCGCAGGTGTTCGGGAGAGCCCCTAGCTAAGATTCTGTGCAGTTTGGGAAACCCCCAAATCCCAGTCCTGGCTGACCCCACCAACCCCAATGCGCCCCTCCTCCCAGGAGTCCCCACACAGCCCATTTTTGATGCAGGTAAGTGCAGGGCGTGCTTGGAAGCTCAGGGAGGATGAAAAACGGGAGGGTGAAAAATGGGCCTCCCAGAAGTTCGGGAAGGCTGGAAATGGGCCCCTTTCTGGCCTCCAGAGAGCCTTCGGAGCCCGGGAGGCCATATTTGCCCTCATGGAGGCTGGAGGAAAGTCCACCCCCCCACACAGTGGTGCAGGAGGCTGACTAGGCCATTCTCACCATGGCCACCCCCACCCAGCAACTGGGCAGAGAACCCATTGCTAAAAATTTTGAAGTCCACCCCTGCAAACATACCTACCTTTTCATTATATGGCTCATCACGCAGCACTTCAGGTGCCATCCAGTAAGGAGAACCTACCACTGGCAACTTCTCACTTCAACAAATTTAGAAAAGTAACATGAATGATTACCATTCCATTCCAATCAAAGTCTATAGGACAATATTGTTATTATTTCACATATTTCAAAATCCTGAAAGTTATTCTACTAGGAAATATATTACAAAGCCTACTGAAAGAATAAAATGTTTATGTGCCATAGTGAAAAGTTTAAGCAAAGTTATACCTATGTGTGCAAATCATTTATACATGGCAATAAAATCTAAATGGATATCTTAAAGATTCTTTTTAAACTGTTAAAACTGCAAAAATGCTCTTTAAAAAACATTTATTATCTGCATCAGTGACCTATCACAAATGTATTGTTTATGCAGATAGAGAATGATTATATGCAAAAGCTAAAAAGTAAGGAATTCAGTAAATAATCCAAAACAGTTTTAAGTCAAATGCTGAATTGTAGAAGGCAATGATCAGTGATTCACAATTATTTAGCTTAACATTATAATATTATTAAACTCTAATTGGTGTTTACTTAGAAATAACGCTTACCTATAATCAGGAATTTTCTCTGCCAAGCCAAAATCACCTACTATAGCAGAATATCCATTCTCATCATTTTTTATTAAACAGTTCTGAATAAAAGCAAAGAAACAATAATGAATATTAAGTAGGTATGGTACAGATGTAATATCGCTGCAATAAATAATTTGATTTTGATTTCACTACCTATGAACATGTCAGTATCTGCCAACCTCTTAGCCCATTCTGCCTTTTAAAAGTTTAAAAGAATATTGAATAATTAACAGAATTTTAAAAAAGGCACACTGAAAGCTAAGTGTCATCCTCAGCTTTTGATAAACAATTCCACATGGCCCTATTGGTATTCTTAAAAAACAAAAATGGCAAATGCTTTGTTTGTAACTACAACAATGGTAAGCAAAGACTTGAAAACAATTGGCCTTGAGGGGGCAGTAAAAAGCAAGCCTACTATCTGACCCTTCCTTCTACAATAGCTATTTGGTGAAGGCAACCTTCCTGTGACAGATATTTCACCAAGTGCCTATAACCAGATCTTAAAATATCCACATAGCCTGAGGACATATGGTATCTACACAGTACTGTTACTATAGTACTGTTCTCCCCGCCCCCCATTAAATAACTTCTGCTCCAACTGTGCTGAATATTGAGCATAGCACATAAATGCATATCTGTTAAAAGCAAACAAGAATGAACATCAGAATATGTTGAACAGGCATTTTGTGATATTAACAATATTGATCATGAACAATTTAAAGAATAACTAAAGAAGTTGGGAAAATACATTTTATTTATTTGTATCCCACCTTTATTATTTTTACAAGCAACTAAAGGCAGTGAAGATATCTAATATACCTTCCTCATTCTATTTCTCCCCAAAAAATCAGCCTGTAAGGAGAATTGAATTGAGAGAGGGTGACTGTGGGCCATCATGCCTCAGTTGGGACTGGAACTCACGGTCTCCTGTTTTCAAGGCTGATGTCTTAACCACAAGATCAAACTGGCATTACACCAGAGGTGGTATTCAGCAGGTTCTGACCAGTTCTGGAGAACCGATAGCGGAAATTTTGAGTAGTTCAGAGAACCGGCAAATACCACCTCTGACTGGCCCCGCCCCCAGCTATTTTCTGCCTCCCAAGTCCCAGCTGATCGGCTGGGTCTTCTTTGGTTGCCCTGTACAGGAAAACGGAGCTGGAAATCAGTGGGGGGTGGAGGGAATGGGATTTTGCAGTAACCTTCCTCCAGCAGTGGGGAGAGAATGGAGATTTTGAAGTATCCTTCCCCTGCCACCGCCCATCAAGCCATGCCCACAGAACTGATAGTAAAAATTTTTGAATCCCACCACTGCATTACACTATCAAAATTCAAGCATGTTTTTCCATGTACAAAGATACAGTAGTTGATTTTATTAAATAATATTTATCCTAAATATTATTAGTTCTCACCTAAATGAATTTTAGAATGCACAACTCACTTTGGATTTTTAACTGTACATAAAGGCCCCTGAACTCCACATCCAATGTATTTTGAATCTTTTCAATTATGACTATTGTTATTCCTAATAAAAATTTATTAGTTTATTAGTTTATTTGAGGTTGAATATTTGTTCACTGCAAAATGTACATAAATCCTAAAGGAATAACATTAATCATACTGCAATGGTAAAAATATGGTAAAAATCCACACTTGAAACTATCTTTTTGTAAGTAGCTTCAATGATTTAATGATAATCATTTATTTCCCTCCCTCCATTAGCACATAAGACTATTTAGGAATTCTTTAAAGTACTATTTTATTAAGGTTCAATAAAGAACCATATTTAGAATTTGTGGAAAAGATATTTATGATAAATGGTACCGTGATTTCTTAAATTCTTGGTTAGTTTAACCCAATGCTCTAGGTCATTATAATCAATTGTGTTTGCTATGTACCATAGGGAAGTTATTTTAATATGTACAAGTACAGTCATGCAATTTTATTATTGATTATGACAAGGCTGTGTTGTACAATGTACCTACCAGCAAAAAAAGATGGTAGAGAAATCCCAGTGTAGGATCAGAATATGGGAATATTGTGTGCCAGAGAAGAGGAACATAAAGCAATAAAAATATTCAGGTCTTTCTTCATGCAGCTAAAGTTGTAGCTTCTTTAAAATCTACATGAAGAGTCAATTCCTTGCTGCTGGGTAGGGAGGGAATAAGGGATTGCAAGACTAGCAGAGAAACTGTTACAGAATGGAATGGAATTTTGAAAATAAAAATCAATCATAGCCACAGCTCAGTAGCAGCCAGCAGTACTGAAGCAACCACAACATTCCCTTAATTTCATTTCCTCTGGAGTTACAGATCCTGGAATTTAGGCACATTCTGTAAGTTAGCCCAACTTTATTCAAATTGTTGTCCTATGATGCACCAATTTCACCCATGTAATGAGGAGAATTTTAGTAATATATAGATATTTCGGATTCTCATTTACAGTTCTGGCATACTTGCAGGTGACTAGCTTCTTTAAAAAAATAGGTACATTTTAAATATTTTAATATACCTATTAAAAATAGATACAATTTAGGTATAAACAATTTATACCTAAAAAAATAGGTGCATTTTAAATATTTGAAGCACAGTTTGAAAGCAACATCACTACTCATTTTTAATAAGATATTATGTTTTATACCAATAGATTAGCCTTAGAACGTTATAGAAGTTAAAAAGCTATAACAACATTGCACCAAATGAGTTAATTTTACATCTATTTTCCTGGAAGTATAATTCATAATTCACAATTGCATTTTGCTTTCTTCTGATAATAAGACAACACAGTTTGGAGAAGGGATAAAGAGAACAAAACAATTCCAAGAAATTTGCTGCCAGCAAATACGATCAGATAGAAGAACATTACCTTGGAAGTCAAATCTCTGTGGAAAATTCCCTTATAATGAAGATAATTGAGTCCAAGAGCGATATCCAATGCCAGCTTTACTCGCACTGTCCAGGACAAGTGCTGATTACTATCTAACAACTGTTCCAGGTTACCACAGTTGATGTACTGTAAAGAAACAAAGCTATGGTTAAAATGTAGTTCAAGGCAAACAAATACTGGTGAGAAACGATGGTACATTTCAACATGGAGCTGGATTTAGTGAAGAGCTCTTCTTTGTCTATCACATTAATGCAACTGAATTAAAATATCCTATTATAATAATGGTACACTGTAACCAGTTCCTCTAGCCAAGTAAAAAATATGACTCTATATTATTAAGATAAGATTAAGCACTGGAAGAAAATACAATAATTTTGATTCTTATTTTGCCCAATTCCTTAAAGTGCTCATAAAAATCAATAATGTAAGTTTAAGAATAAGCAAGTACAATAGAAATTTATAACATAGTATCCTGGTTTTTCATAATCATAGTTACTATTTACCAGCACAGCGTGATAAAAGCTTTCTTCTCCCTTATATTTGTATAATTCATTTGCCTGTATCTCACTTATAAATGATTAAGATATACAATTTTGTAAACTGGTGAAATTATTCTACAAGCCAGTTCAATTTTCAGGGCTGCATAGTAATATTATCAAATGATAGATCACATTTGTTAAGAAGAAAAAAATTCAACAATATGCAAAGAAATGAATATGAATTCTTCATACACAGATTTATACTGTATATGACAGCTCGGTATTAACATCAACCAGTATCTTGGTATAATGTACTGGCCAACAAATAGAGGAGCTGTTAATTTCTAGCCAAAATACTCAAGAATCTAAAAGAGATCAAAACATTTTATTTGTCTGGAGATTGGCACAGATCTTAAATACCATATTTAAATAGCATATTTTTGCCAGAAGCATTTTAGATTATGTCACAAGGAATATAGTGGCATGCCATTTTTAACTAGAACTATAAATATATTTCTTTGGCAAATAATCCTTTTTATTAAGATCATCTTGCTATATTAGCCTTTATAAATAACAGCTTGCTGGGCCTCAGAAAAATACAGGTACTATATTGTTCAGTGAGACTTGCATCACATTCAACCAATGTAGCAAGTTTTCAGGATCACTGTTCTCTATCATGGAAATACTAAGTTATTCAAAGTGGAAACTCTTCCACCAGAAATTGATACTTTTTTAATCAATAAAACCAAACAACTTTTATTAATAATTTCATATTTGCAAATAGGATTTATGATTTGGGGTCTCAGAACTACACTAACATGGGAAATATTTTCTGTTAATATTAACTGGAGCAAAATAGATGTGCAATTGAAGACAACAACTATAATTGCAACTATTTTAATTACTGCACTTCTTAAGTTCAAACCAAAGAGAGAGATGAAACTAGATCCTGTTGCTCAGATAAACTGTACTACAGTATCTGCCAAATGACCTAATTATGGCTTTAGAAAATATGCAACTGGATTAAGTTAAATGCTTGCAAACTGTTTCTTCATTCAAAAAACCTGCAAGAGTTTGACAATAGTCAATGGATTGAAATTTCTGCTGCTGAACACCCAGTCAAAGAATAGGAAAACAGTTGGCCAAACTATTTTATCATAGACTAGATTGGAAAAAGGCCTGATTCTCCTTCAGGTTTCTCTGCCTGATTCTCTACATAGCAGTAGGCAATGATACAGAATTTTAGTGGTCTACTATGATATTATAATATACACTAGATGTCCTGATCTTATTTTGAATGTGAGTTTCTGAAGGGTGGAATTCTAGACATAATAGGGTCTACTTTCCTGAGCTATCTGGTCCATGGAAGCACCTGATACTTGGGTTTTCCAAACCTGTTTTGATAAAGGTCACCCTTTTTCATGCTTTACCATAGTTTGACTTCATGACTGAAATCTGGACATTTTATGGATGTGGAAGAAGGTAATTAAAGTGATCCACACTAAAAAATTATGTATTTAAATAACTTCTCAATGTTCCCTACAAAACGTATGATTTTAGCAACCATTTTTTTCTTTAAAAAGAACAAAACAGTTTCATTTCTTCTTCCAAAATGCAGAAATGAGCTGAAAACCTGGCAGCATGTTCAAGAGCATCTTTTCAAATCTGAATACAGTACAAACTATAATAAATTAATATACTAATGAATTTTATGATTTTATTTGTTGTTATTGATTCTTCTTTCCATTGGTGTGTTGGGCTGTGTTCACTATGGATGTTTTAATTATTATACTGTACATTATATTAGTCGCTAAAAGTTATTTGATTGTGGCAGGGTACAAGTCTACTCAATAAATCAATCAGAATGCTATAGTTGTTAAACAGCCAATCAATGGCTCTACAATCGATATTTATAATTTTCAGTTTACACAATCCATAAATGCAATCAGGTTCTTTGGAGAATTATAGCCACCTTTATATGAACTTGAACCTTGCCTTTCCTTCCTTATAAGGACAGGGAGAACAATGAAATGATTAATGAAAGTGGTGAACATCACTTTAGCATGCAGCTCGATTGTATGACACTTAAAAATGCATGAGAGTTTCACATTAATTGAAATGAGATTGAAAATGCCTCTGCAGGATAATATACTGAAATTGAAATCCAATATATTTGGAGGGCAAGAGGAAAAATAATCTGTTCGGTGATCCGGGTGGCTCTCACTTTGAAGGTGTTCAAGAATCTATTAAAAATTGGTTATTTTCCCAGTCTCTGGAAAAGAGCAAAGGTTGAGCCCATGCTAGATGGTTGTTGTTTTTTCCAGTTTATGATTCTAGGGTGTACAATTTTTTCTGAATTTTGTACATTATAAAAACCTTTTAACTATAAACTGTTCAGGATTTGGGCAGCCTATAAATTGTTTTAATAAACAGCCTCCAAGGCTCTGTTATGGAGTAGTATCTTGGCTCCAAATATTTCTGAGTGCAATAGATTGTCCATTTTAATCTAACTTTATATACGGTTATGGAACAGACTTCAAATGGCCCATTATAGGCCCTGACCTGGTGCTAAGGAAAGCTACTCTATTAGTTTTGTAGAAACTATACAACTATTAATACTATTAACCGTTACAAACTTCTTGACAACTTATATAAAATGGCACTAGAATTAGAATTCTTTATTGGCCAAGAGTGATTGGACACACAAGGAATTTGTCTTGGTGCAAATGCTCTCAGTATACATAAAAGAAAAGATACATTTGTCAAGAGTCAAGATATGCACAAAATATGCACTGTGGTTTCCATCAACATATTGTCAGTGTTATGGGAAATAAAAACTTAGAAGATGCAATTTCCTAACTATTGCAATTCCATTATTATGTCCAAACTGAGGGAAACTGAACTGCAGCTTGAACAATCATTGTTCATTTAAGCAGAATAACCTCTGCATCCCATTTGGAATATACTAGTGAAGGGACTTCTATTTTAAAAATAGATGTTGACGATCTGAAACCATGCTATGGAGAGTGGAAAGAGGGCATATGTATATGTAACTCACAGCTATTTAGTACACAATTAAAGTACAGTTCAGAGATAGGTGAAGATGAAGGCTAAAGATCCAGATGGATCTTGACAGACTAGAACACTGGGCTGTATCTAACAAAATGAAATTCAATGTAGAGAAAAGTAAAGTCCTACACCTAGGCAAGAAAAACCAAAAGTACACATATAGACTGGGTGAAACCAGGCTCAATAGCAGTAACTGTGAGAGGGATCTTGGAGTCTTAATGGATAACCAGCTAAATATGAGCCAGCAGTGTGCAGTAGCAGCCAAAAAGGCTAATTCAATCCTAAATTGTATTAACAGAGGCAGGGGTGGGATTCTACCAGTTCGCACTTATTTGCTAGAACCGGTTGTTAACATTCTAAGCAGTTCGGAGAACTGGTTGTTAGAAGAAATTACTGGCCTTATCCTGTAAGGAAGGCAGGAAGGAAACATTCTGGTGTTGCTTACAGAAACTGCCTCTCCATTAATTCTTATTACATTCTTGGCAGGACTAGACTTCCTGTCTCAGGAACTTCTCTGGAGTTTTTTTTCCCTCCTTTGCTGGTACTTTGCTTGTGTGGAGTGACCATTCAAAGTTACAATGGCACTGAAAAAAGTGACTTATTACCATTTTTCACACTTATGACTGTTGCAGCAACCCCACAGTCATGAGCGGCCAAGCGAGGAGATGTGTGCCTCGATGTAAGTGATATTGAGTTGGCCACACCCAGCCAATAACATGACCACCAAGCCATGTCCACCCAATCACATGACCAAGCCACGCCCACCACCTAAGCCACAGCCAAAACTGGTTGTTAAAAAATTTGAATCCCACCCCTGAACAGAGGGATACAAGCAAGATCAAGGGAAGTACTAATACCACTCTATAAAGCCTTAGTAAGACCACACCTAGAGTACTGCATCCAGTTTTGTTCACATTATAAAAAAGATGTTGAGACTCTAGAAAAAGTACAGAGAAAAGCAACCAGGATGATTAGGGGACTGAAGGCTAAAACATACAACGAACGGTTGCAGGAACTGGGCTTGGCTAGTCTAGTAAAGAGAAGGCCCAGGGGAGACATGATAGAGGTCTTCCAAGATTTGAGGGGCTGCCACAGAGAGGAAGGGGTCAACTTATTTTCTAAAGCGCCTGTAGGCCAGACAAGGAATAATGGATGGAAACTGAACAAGGAGAGATTTAACCTGGAAATAAGGAGAAACTTTCTGACAGTGAGAACTATCAACCAATGGAACAGCTCACCCTCGGAAGTTGTGGGAGCACCATTACTTGAGACTTTCAAGAAGAGATTGGCCTGCCATTTGTCAGAAATAGTGTAGGGTCTCCCGCTTGGGTGGGGGGTTGGACTAGATGACCTACAAGGTCCCTTCCAACTCTGATTATCTGTTATCTGTCATCTGATTTGGCACTATTTAAAGACTTTGAATAATGCAACTATATCCAGTTTCATAATAATTGGCCACTTTGTTTCAAGAACTTTGTTCCTTGTAACAGTAACTTAATCTGATCTCAAAGCAATTAGCAAGTGAAAAAGGCAATTGCACAGAGAACATTATACATGACTGGCAGGAAAAAAAATCAT